TTGTTACCATTTGAAAGCATAATTATTTTTTTTAAATATTTTAACTTTACGATCAAAGTTTTAATAAGTTTCACGAAATGCCGAAAACCGAGGTGCAAAGACACTAATTTTTCAATACTAAAACAAAAGATATCTCATTAACATCCGTTGAATAACTCGATCCTAAATATAAAGTGGCAAATTAATCTGCGTTAGTCATTTTTAAGTGGTAAAAATAAAAGTTGATCATGATTTAAGCAAGTCAGTAATGATTCAAGCCAATTTTTATAGCAAATGTCAAGAAAATTGTGTCTAAGTGCTGCAATCGTAAAAGATGTAAGTCAATCAGTGCCCATCTTCAGATTCGTTGGCTTTGTAGCCATAAACAATAAGTGTATTTTTTTCTAAACAAACAGTTCATTTCGCTTATACTGCCAGCACCAAGATACCTTGGTCATGGTGTCACCATTGTAAAAGAATGTGAAATAATTTTCATTCATTTTTTATTTTCAAAATATTAAACCGAACATAATTTAATATTTCGTTGCCCAGGTTATTTAAATTAAATAAAGATACATAAATTTATTAAATTATTATGGAAGCTTTATCTTCTCACATATTAAGAACAGTTTTTATGATTATCTCAAATTAATACAATTATTCCAACGTGCACTTAAGCGGCAATTATATGAGTTTTTGACTTGAATACCTTCTTAGGTAAGCTTTTTAGTTTCAATCAATACATTTGTTTTAAAATTTTTTCTTCGTGTATTAACTCACTCTCAAAATATGATTTTTAATATTAAAACAGTCCATTAAAATATTAAAACAGACATATTTAAATAGTACTAACCTCAAAGTTTTAAAGCAAAATGAAGTCTTAAATGAATAGAAACTTTTTTAAAGTAAATGTGGCGCACGGTCTAGGTTCTAGACACAAAGGTTAATTATATTAAAATACTAGACAGAGTTCAAAAGAAAGGGTAAGAGAATTTTTGCATTCATGTAGTAAATTAGACTTTATTGGTCTATGTTATTTTAGTATGAAAATATTATGTCATGTTCTTAAAATATTAAGTTACGTATCTAAATATAAACACGTTCAACCAAGAAACTAAATTTGGGCAGCAGAAAGACGAAATTTTGGGGATTAAAGGAAAAAATAGGATATTTATACTTCTTAAAAGAATGAAATTCTATTTTTCTGCTTTGTGTAAGAAAAGTAATGCATTTTCTTCTTTTAGTAAAACTAAGTTTGTTAACTGAGGACAAAAAAAAAGTAAATCAATTACTTTACATGCATTAAATACTGAATTAAAAACTTAACTCTTTTTGAAAAGTAAAATTCCTAGATCTCTTTTTTCGAAATATAGGAGTTTTAGATTTCTTCGTGGGAATAAACTAACCTTATTAATTNGAGAGCCACTGCGGCGGTGGCTGCTCTCCGAGCGGAGCTTGAAAAAAAGAGACCAAGTAGTTTCAAATCTTCCATGATTGCTAAAGTATTTTTTTCTCAGTACTGATAAAGTGGCTATCTTGAAATGATAATTGAAACCATGCACACAAGTTTATTATAATTTTTCATTCACAAAAATTAGTAATAAAATTAATTATATCTTAATAATATTGGCGTTGAAGTTGGTTTTATTAACAAGCTAAGCTTTGATCACCAGGCCAGGTAATGGATAAAAATCATTCAGTACTTTTACCTAGACGCAGGAACCACTTGAAAAAATAATTTAACACAAAGTACATAAACTTTAAAATCCACACAAAATGTGCAAAGCATAACCGATTTCTAAAAATGTAGTTGTAAAAAAATGCTTTTTTCTCAATGCTATCTTTGTACCAAGAACATTATGTTTGCTTTATTAATTGGCAGCCAAATTTTGATTTATAAATAAACTTTTTGCATTCATCTGATTTCTTAGACTAACATCTATCCCATGATATCTCACGTTGCAAAATATTATTTTGATTGACGCTTAATTATTCTAGCCAGTTTTTATCAATTGAAAACGAAAATCAAAAATTAAAAATAACAGAGAACTAAGCGTTTTTGACAGTTTACATTCCACAACAGTAATAGCAGTAGACAGTACTGCAGTTACAATATATCTGTACATACTGTAGACGTAAAAAACATGAGCACCTCTGGCTTGTTTACTACCTCTCCACTATTTCTCTGCTGTGATTGGTCATGGAACTCTTCCCTAGAAGTAACTGGGTCTCAAAAAGTTTGGTGAGGGAATCCTCTTCGCCCAAA